GGGATTTGCCCGCATGAATGGACGCACTGTAGGCATTGTGGGTAACCAGCCCAAAGTGGCTTCTGGTAAGTAAAACAACTGAAGGACCAAAAGTAAGAGAGGCAAAATTATTAGTGTTATGTGAAAAGCTTAATTTACCTCTATTAAAAAAAAAAAAGTGTCCCAAAAAGAGCATGATGGGTGAAAATAAGTTGGAAATTGTTGATTAATAATCTACTCTGATGTGTTTTTAGTCTTGCTTTTAAATCCTTAATTTCTGTCTCGTTTATCAGGTTGTTTGGACATCAACTCCTCAGTGAAGGGAGCTCGCTTCGTACGCTTCTGTGATGCTTTCAATATTCCCATCATCACCTTCGTGGATGTGCCGGGCTTCCTGCCAGGTATTCTTTGAAAGTCTCACACAGTGCATAAACACTTGTACTGTAAATAAAACTCTAGTTTACATCCTCATCGGGTTAGGCTATTGACGGATGATTCTGTAGTGTGTCTCCCTGCTGCCATGAATAATACAGTTACCAGGATGGAACAACCTGCCTGCACAAAAAGCACGAAAAGAGCTCAGCTCACGGAAAATAAATACGTAGCTTATAGATACAGTAAGAGTAAATGCATACTACAGTAACGTGTAGGGATCTAACAATACACCCAACTCAGAATTTAATACAATTCGTAATACTGGGTTCACAATATGATTTCTGTAACAATATACAAAATAACAAAATAGATTTTCTCTTATATTTTATTTTTTTTAAATTATAGAATCCTTTTTTATTTTATGAGGTTATGTATAAACTGTGTAATTTGGATCTTCACATACTTGAAGAAAATGTCTTGCAATATATCTTTACATTCCTATTAACATGTTTTAGTATGGGAGTGAGCCAGGTATCTTAACTAGGATACCCATAGATATCGGCTGACTTGTCTGCATTATGCCCCATGCACTAGGTGAAATACATTACATGTGAGCAGAAACGTTCCCTGCAGCTCACACTCACACTCATTATTAACTGCTGTCATGGCCGTCAACAGGTACTGCTCAGGAGTATGGCGGCATCATCAGACACGGAGCCAAACTGCTGTATGCCTTCGCAGAGGCTACCGTCCCGAAAATAACCGTCATCACCAGAAAGGTGTGTGTGTGTGTGTGTGTGTGTGTGTGTGTGTGTGTGAGTGAGAACAAAAAGAGAAGAGATGGATGTGGAAAATCCTATCTGTGAAAAGAGTGTAGAATTAGCAGAGAGGTTTAGATGTTAGAATATACCAAGCTAAGTGACTGTACAGTAACTCAACACTGCAGGTGCTTCCCAGTGAAAGCCATTATAAATCTCTTTACTGGAATACACTGTGAAGCAGCTGCACACTGAGTGCAGTGTTGAGTTGGCATCATAAGAACCATTACATTATCATTCTCCATGCTTTAATCTCCACTTGACATATTTTCTGAAAAATGCTGCCTGCTCTTCAGTATGAACAGTGCAGTGCATTGTTGGAAGGGTTATTTTTCAACAAAAAATCATGTGTCCTTCAGATGTGCAGTGAAACCCTATCATTTATAAAAATAAGTGAAAGTGTATTTTAAATCTGGGGAAATATATGACTCATATGACTTAAGGCGTGTGTTTGTCTGTGTATACCAGGCGTACGGTGGAGCTTACGACGTGATGAGCTCCAAACACTTGAGAGGAGATGTGAACTACGCCTGGCCCTCAGCTGAGGTTGCTGTCATGGGTGCTAAGGTACAAACACACTCATTTTTTCTCTTTGTCCCTCTCTTCCCTTCCTTTTTGATTTGACAGTGTGATCTTCTTTTTTCTCAGGGCGCTGTTCAGATTATCTTCAGAGGAAAAGAGAACCAGGCGGAGGCAGAGGCTGAATACGTGGAGAAGTTCGCCAACCCCTTCCCAGCAGCCGTCAGAGGTAAACTCTCATTATTTCGTAGCTCTGCGAAAATATACCGCCCTCTTACATTAGTGGAATGCATTACACACTTCTCTTCCTCACCGGCCAAATATTTGTTTTAGGTTTTGTGGATGACATCATCGAGCCGTCGACCACTCGCAAGAAGATCTGCAGAGATCTGGAGGTGCTGGCCAGCAAGAAGCAGGTCAACCCCTGGAAGAAACACGCCAACATTCCTCTGTGAAACACACCCAAAACTGTTTCCACATTGACACTAGCTGAAGGCACTTGCTGTGGGATTTTCCTGATTATTGACTTCATATTCAAATGAACTGCGGTGGTACCTTGTGACAACGACTGAGCAGATGTCTGTTGTCATATTTAACCACTCCACTGGAAGCAGCACAAAGATGTAAAGATCAGTCCCTGATTTTGTAAGGGCTTAATAGCAGTCCCCCCCGAATGTCCCATCAGCTCACTGCTTATGTGTTGAACTATAAACTTTGTTAAATTTGGGGGAAACATTGGTGCTCTGTAAACGAAATCAGCATGTGTATCTTTACATCTTTAACACTGGTATGCAATAGGTTAATAGGAAAATCCTACATTTTATTGAACAGTATACAGTGGTCACACACATTAATCATCACGTCAGTAGTGGCCATATTGGTCACTATTGTTGGTATGATTGGACATTTTGAGAGCAAGATTGTATCTGAAAGGGCAGATGTATTGTTGAGAAGCTGTCAACGCGATAGTTGTCGTGCAAACATACTGTAGTCTGCTGCCATGTACAATGTTTCCAGAGTTGTCAATGTACTGTATTTAGTTCTTAGTGTTTCTGGTGTGTGTGTGTGTATAGTAGTTTGTGCTTTCAGACTCACTCCCTGTGTTTGATGTTCTCCATTAAGGTCAAGAAAAAGTCATCCTTACAACTGTGCCTTCTCTCTCTCCGGCAGGCTCTGCCATTTGTAAAATAAATCATGGACTTAATACCACGTTCTCTTTACTTTTATCAATGCAATAGTCAATTTTTGGTGTTTTTTTTTAAAATGTGACAAATTTAAATTAGAGGGTCCTCTGTCTCGAATCAGCTGAAACTAAATATTGATTATATTGGGGTCACAAAATATTCTAAACTTAAAGTTCACTATTTCACTTGTTCTGGACCTCATTACATGGTCCTCTTTAGCAGATTGAGTTAACCAAGTTTCCACAGTTTTAACTGTCAGGTTTGACTTTCAAGTCGACGTGGATGAGAAGAATTAGAGGAGCAGAAAATCATGGAAAATTTGAACATCTACAGTTCCACGACTGATGAGGATCACATGAAACCCTTGAAAGCCAGAAAGTGGATCTTGAGTTGAGATTTCTTTGTAGGGCTTGACAGTTCAAAAATGAACTGTCAAGCTACAGTTATGCTCTGCCGTGAAATATTTGGCAAAGCTGAGGAAAATGCAGCTATCTGCAAACTACATGAGCGTTGTGCACAACACAAGGCACATACAAACCGACTGGTCCGATAAATCCGATCTACAGAGATCTTTATTTTATTAGAACAAGAAGGGTCTTAAGGTCACCAGAAAAAAAAAAACACAACAAAAAACCAGGCTCTTCCTAACGGGACACGAGCGGCCGAGCATCCTTAGGGCAACGTGATGGGTCCACACTGCGACTGCGAGACAAGAAGATTCGCAATTAGTCTCCTGGAATTTTACAAGATGCCAAGCCAGCCGCGAGGGAACAAGAGGTAAACCCGTATTGACGTACCCAACCACCTAGTGGTCGAAACAGCGAGTATGCGCGTGCGACCACATCTGCAAAACAACCAATTCCAAACAAAATGTTTGTCAGACAGACAGTCCTCCGACTGCACCGTGCGATACGCGTGGGAACATGCACTGGAACAACAAATTATCATTTTTCTTGGATAAGGACAGCTGTAGGCCGGGTGTACAAAACTGTAAACTTGATTGTGACCTGTGAGATGAACAAACTAACAGGATATTCCCTGGCTGTACATACTGACTCTGAAACGATTACAATGCAGACCATGGAAGCAGCGCTTACAAAGCTGGTATCCCACAGCAACATATCTGAGCTTGGTAAGCCGCCTCTAGATATGAGTTCCCGGGTGTAGGGGAAGGCGCCTCGACACTAGACCTGCCCTACAGTGATGTACGGCGACACATTGCACAAACAAGCATGACCATCAGTTCAAGAAAAAAGCTGTGCAAACATGCAGCCCACACAGAACAAGACCACCGGCACCTGAATTGCTACACGGTTTAGATACGCAAAGCCTACAGACCTGCAAAGTGATGTGTTCCTGGTTTTTTGTGTACCTTTTGCAATTACCTTTTAACTTCAACCAAAGCCGTGGTTACTCGAGGGATGTGCTGAGAACATGTCCGACGATCTGAGAGGGTGGGCGGTCTTGTCGGGGTGCGCGTTCGGCGAGGAGCGAGGGGTAGGAGGAGCAGGCAGGGAGGAGGAGCGAGGGGGATGGTGGGTGATCACATCAAAGAGGGACAACACTCGTTCTGCTTGACATCACACAACGAAGACAGTGTACATGAAACTTCCTGCCAGGGTCGGCTAGCCGGCTGTTTGCGGCCCTCAGTGTGCATGCTGCGACTACACTCACCATCCAGTCATCCATCATATCAACCGGGAGCACACTTTACACACACACACACACCCCACACACACGACCAGATACACACTCACCGCACCAGCACCACCACATAGCAACCGGACTGCAGAGCTGGGGAACAGAGCAGAGGGGAGAGGCGCGGTCCGGTGGGTGGGTAATAAGAGCAACAGATATCAAAGAACATTTAGTAGTTGAGGACTCCTCTCTAAGTTGGACTTAACCAGAGCGGACTGAAGTGGACCAAAAGAAGGCGGGCGGCGAGCTGTACACGAGGTGTGCCTAGCTCCTGCTGAATGCTGATCGGGCAGCAAGCAACCAAACAACTGTACACTCTGCGTGTAAACGGAGGAGGGAGGGGGGGGGCTGTAGAACCCTGTGAGATACTCATCCCGGCACCAAGGGCCATCAGAGCTAGCA